CTACCAAGCCATAATCGCATCAAATGTGATCTCAAGCAGTATGCATGCGGTCGCGTGGCCGCTATGGGCTATAAATACCGCGCAACGCATGGCTCTATCACCCCTTTTTGGGGTGGTGTCTCTGTTAATTGGTTCAGGCTAGAATCCCAAGTGCCAGGCCAATAGACTTCTTATTCCAGTGATCGCATCTTCTCTTTTTGAACTGCTTCTCGGAATTCACCTGTTCGCTTCTATCAGCAAAGTTGTGGACTATTGGAGTTGGGTAGTCCGAAACCTCAACAACTGCCGACAAAGAGATTTCCAAATTTTCCGCGCTAGACTTGGACGTATGCCCGTCGTTAACAGAAACAGCCTAACAATTAAGCCAAGAACGGCGAAGACGTCATGTTTCACGCCACTGAACGAAACCTTTTAAATGTCTTTTGCGTGCAAAAACAACCTGCCGCGTTTCCGTGGCCAATTTTCAAACCAAACACGCGTATTACAGGTTTACTACCGATCGTTGATGTAGCGACAATATAGACGGGTTGGTGCGCGTTCTGTCTTTGAAAAAATCCTTCACGTCTGTAGCAGTGGAGAGGGCTCTGTGTAAAAACGAAGGATCCACGAAATTGAGGAGTTTCCCTTGTGTTGCGAGCTAAGAAAGCCTCGACAGATAGAGCCACTGCTTCAAACGTTCGCTAAGGTCCAAAGCAATAGGGGCCCAATGAATGAAAGGGAGCTGATACACCCCACAAGAGATGCCAGTTAAAAAACGGTGTTTAGCTGGTCCAAAAGTTTTAGTATCTGTCAGATGACATAAACACGTATGTTTAAAACAGCTGAGAAACTTTTTGTTCTGGAAGTCGTCAGCTGAGGCGTGAGAAACGCGTTTTGAGGAGAATGTAAGGGTTGTTTTTCTCGTCGTAATTGTGAATGTTTACATTTTTGACGACACGCGTGAAGGTTTCGCATAGACTGGATTAAAAAGGTCAGGAATATCATTTGAAGCTGAGTCACATGTTCGTCCAAAACTTCAGACAGCTACAGATACTACCCATAATTAAGAAGAAGAAGAAGAAGAAGAAGAAGAAGACGACGACTCGATCGCTGGGACAATACTTTTATTCGCCTGACGTTTCGATATCCTGTGGATTTGGCATCAGAGACATAGTCAGAGAGCAATAGCAGATGCGGTAGCACATGCACAGCAGTTTGCAGTATTTATCGGATACAGTAACTGCTGCAAACATACGACGACAATTAACCGTAATCGCCTCCTTGAATGTTGGTGGTCTGTTGAACAGCATGCGAGCTCTGACCTGCTGACCTTTCATCACGCCTGGTGGACTCGATGATCGGATCGGTGGATGATTGCCCGGTCATCTGGCCCTCCGTTACTGGTATAGGATGAGGCGCTGACCTCTCAGTTACTTCCTGGAACTCGCATGTTGGCTTGCATTGGC